GCTTTTGTCCTTGAGCTGAACCTGCTCCAAATCCCTGTGTCACACTGACTCAGTCTCCCTCCACACCATACAAGCTAGTCAGGATTTGTACAATAGATACACTCAGAAAGAGAGCAAAAAAGAGGGATTTAAAAAGGGGAAGAGATGGTCAACTAAAGCTCTTTTAAAAGCGGAGCAGTAAAAATTGAAAAGTCACACCTATCTGCTGTCATGCTGAATTGTGTCCTGATAAATGTCTCTGCCAAGGAGGAGCATCTTCTCCAAGACAGTGTGACCCTAGAGACTACACAGCAAGTTTTATCCTTATCTTTCATAAAGCCAGCGGGAGGAAATCTCTTCTCACAACACTATTCACCACATTAATTTCTTGCATCAGTTCAAGCTGTGCTTAGTGACTTTGGTTATGTCTGCACAAACACGGTCAGGGAGACCTCTTCACGCCCCAGAAAGCAAATGCCTTGTGTATGGGTGTGGCTCTGACCAAGGGCATAGTGGAACTGTCCTGGGTTCAGCAGTAGCAGTCATTTTTCTCCTTCTTAGTAGCTGGTGCAGTGCTGTGTTTTTGACTTTCAGCCTGAGAACAGAGCTGATAACACCAATGTTTTTAGTTGTTGCTCAGTAATGTTTACTCTGACCAAGGAACTTCTCAGTCTCATGCTCTGCCAGGGAGGAGGGGAAGCCAGGAGGAAGCAGAGACAGGACACCTGATCCAAACTAACCAAAGAGGTATTCCATACCACAGCACATCATGCCCAGGATGTAGAACTCAGGGCAATTACCCGGAAGGGTTAGATCACTGCCAGGGTTGGGCTGGGTATTGGTCGGGGGGTGGTGAGCGGTTGTATTCTCTTCCCTTGTTATTTCCCTCATCATTATTATCATTGGTGGTAGCAGCAGTGATTTGTGTTATACCTTAGTTACTGGACTGCTCTTATCTCAGCCCGTGAGAGTTACATTCTTTCTATTCTCCTCCCCATCCCTCGGGGAGGGGGAGGTGAAGAAAGGAGGGAGAGTGAGCAAGCGGCTGCGTGGTTCTTAATTACCAGCTGGGCTTAAACCACAACAGGAACCCATTCCCGTCACAACTGAAATAGCTTCACTAAAACCTTTCTTTGACCCTCTGTCTTACAACTGACATGCAGTGTCAGGATAACGCAAGGGAGGTAAGATAACAAAGAGGTAGCAGGGAGCAAGAGAAACAGGAAATACCAAATTACAACATGAATTACTTACTTATGGTAAGTAATTAATTTCCACGGTGGGGTTTTCTTGGGGGGTGGGACTACTCCCTACTACAAAATACTCTGCTGAGATCCTTGCAGCTGAAATACATTAAAGAAGCCACTATGTCTATATACAGCTGACTTTAAATCCACCCACCCCACTTACACTGTAACTTCAGTGCTTAAGAGAAGCAGCCTTTGGCCTGAACTATGCCTAGGCATCAGCTCAGAGTGCTAGTTAGCACAAGTTACCATTGCACCCAGGAGTGTGATACAAATTAAACAGCGTAGGCAATGACATGCTCATGCTCAAGACGGAGCTCTGGTCCTGCTTTGTTTACTGTAAAGATAAGACTGTATAAATTTGCACACGCATACCCTTAGCTGAGGAAGAAGAAATAGTAGCTACCCATTAACCTCCTAATCCATCCACAGCTCAAAAGTGGGAGCTTGACCACAGCCTCCACCAGCATGCTATTATGCTCTTCCTGAACAAAAGCCTTTTTTTTCCTCAAACCAATGCCTGGAAAAGAAGAAGCATATGAGGAAAAAAACCCAGCATCCCCACCCCCCAGGCCTGTGGATACAATCCAGGCAGAGAGGAAAGGCAGCTGTCAGCAAACCCCAGCCACCAGATTTACATTAGTGAATGGGAAAGGATGAAACAGCAGGGAACAACTAATGCTTCTTAACATTCCTGGAAAGAAACATCCCAGAAGGAAACAGAGCCTGCAAAAAAAAGGAATGCCACAGGAGGTACAAATTATCCACCAGCTATACACACCAGCTCATTATCATCTATTATACCGGTCCTGGGAGCTGAGACACTGGAGAGGCCATTAGCTGGCTTGTGCAGAGAATAACTAACTCCATAAGACCCATCTCTTCCCAAGGCTCTGAATGCACTGCAGGGCAGTGCCACTTTTTTGATCCCCCACCCCCCATAGGTGATAAATGCAAAGAGCTAAGAAAGACTGTCTTTTGGAGGGTGACTGTGACGCATGCAAACCACCTATAACCTTGTTGAAGTCTTTAAATTCAGAGTTTTTGGTTTAGTTTGTGGAGAGTTTATGGTAAAATGGACAGAAATCCCTCCTGGGCTTCTCCTGGCCACAGACAGACCTGGAAAATCATCAACAACAATAAGCTTCTGGTGACTAATTGGGTCAGCTCAAAGGAAGAAGTTGGGACTAGCAACATCATTGATGATAAATGTTGTTCGGAAACAGAAAACAGGGAATGTAATCTCTCAGAAAGGAATTGAAATGCATGTCACAAATCTCAACAGGGCTCTGCATCCACAGACTATTTTGTTTTCTTTTTATTCATCATTCAAACAATCCATTATTATTATTATTTGTGTTGTCACAGAGTCTTGAGCCTGAGTCCAGGATCAGCACTCTAATGCAGCAGGTGCTGTAGAAACTCAGGGCAAAATAACTATCTCAAAAACCTTGAGATCTACGTACAGAAGTATGGACCTCCTTCTTCCTATAGTAAACGTAGTGGCCCCATATGCAGCTATTACCTGTTCGCTGACCTACGTTTTTGTTTGGTTTTTCTTTTTTTCAAATGCAGGGTATTAAATTGCTTTATCTAAACTAATGCAAATATCACTTAAGATGAGTAAGCCTTTCTCACTGTTGCATGACTTTCACCTTGACATACACTTTCTAAACAGACGTTTAAAACAATCAAGTATTGCTATGAAGTGCACCAGATGTTGAAGATGGCACTACACTGAGTAGGGTACAATCTAAGGATGAGCCACAGTTTGAAACTGAAAGAACACACAAAGAACAAAGCAGCAATAAGCAAACCCAAAGCAAACACCACAGGAAGCAAGAGGTCCTAGGGAGATACTTGAAGAAGAAGATGGAGAGACTACTTGCTCACACTCTGACATCCAATGCCCTTGCACACTGTTTTGGGAATTACTAGAGAATTTCTGTCACTATCAATGTCACTGCAACAGTTTTCCCTAGGAGAAAATCTATTTTTAAAAGTGTATAGGCACTGCAGAAAAATAATATACTAAATTGTCAGTTCAAAAGAGGCACTTTACCATTCCTGTTAGTTTGAGTGTAATGGCATCAATCCGAACCCAGACGCAGACCACAGAGCGACACAGGTTAATCATAAACAGTCAACTCTTAGTCATCAGACTAAGCAGAGACAGAGCAGGACTGTCAGCAGACAGAGCAGGATTGGTCTGATGCTATTGTTGATATTTCTAAGGTCACTTGCAGTATAATTAAAACTCATTAATTAATTCTAACACTAGCAGAAGATACATGTGACTGATAGCTGAGGGAGGAGAAGACTATATTCATCACTAGTGCCAAAACCTGCAAAAGAAAAACCTGTGTTCAGCTCGTGTAAAACTGGAACTTTAAAAGCCTGCAGAAGGCAAGTCGTAAGCAGCCATCTCAGAACCTGGCAAGGACCAAATGATCCAGGGGAACTGCTCTTAATCAGACTGATGGAACTACAGTGTGGCTGTGTGATGCAGATAGTTGTTAGAGCATCTCAAGGTTTGAGACGCCTTTGCCTTTTTGAATATCTAAAGTTGTAAATTAACTTCTAGTATTTTCAACTTTTTAAAGCTTTTGTGGAATAAAAGTTTGTGATGGTATAATAGGGGGTGGTTTCACTGACCACACTTTGGTTTGCTTCAAAAACAAAGGTTCATACAAACAGAGGCCCAAGCGAACAGCAAACATCATGAGCTAAAGGAAAGGGTACTAACCAGCACCCTTAGTATCAAGGGTGATCACTTGATTACTACCAAGTAGGATTACTTAGTATCAAGGCAAAATATGCATCAGGGAAGTGAATTGCAAACAGCACATAAGTGGTCAAAGCTCTGCTTGCAAACAGATTGTCCTTTTGGTACTTGGCCTCCTTGGATGATGGGCAAGAAGCAACCATCGGAGACATGCTGAGTGCAGAGGCCCCTTATTGGCTGCTAAGAAGGACACCGAATAGATGTGCAGTTGTTGGTAGATGCTGAAGATCCTAGGGCTTAGCCCAGGGACAGCAGGTCAGGCACCCCCCAGGCATGTCCGAGCACATCACAGAGGTATCACTCACTTCAAATTCTCCTACGCAAAATGTATGACTGCTGGATGCTCTTTCACCTCTGCAGAAGTGCACACACACTTGTCCACTTCTGCACCACATTACATGCAACCTGGCATCTCCTCACAGCCCAGTCATAACATTTTGGAGGGGGCACTCAGTCCCATCCATAAGTACATGCTTCTGAAGATCCAAAATCCCACAGAAGTCGGGTGCTTGAAACGGACCTTCCCCTTCTCCCCTCTCCTGTCCCTCCCCAGACGACCAGGCAGCAACCTTCCCACCCAATTTCGGATACACCGGAGGCTCCCCCGAGGATTCGCGTGGCTCCTCGTGGCCCGCGTCCTGCTCGGGAAGCCGTGAAGGTGGCACAAGCGCAGGGCGGCCCCACAAGAGCAAGGGACGCCCCTGCTCTCGCTGCGCGGCCGGGCTGGGGGCATCCATCCCTACGGTCCACAGCGCCGGAGCTGGGGGACCGCCCGCAGGCGACCGCATCCCCGCGGCGGGCACCGCCGGTGGAGCATCACCGGGGACCGCCTCGCCACATCCCGGCATCTGCCTCCTGCCGCCCCTGCCCACCCCGCTTCAGCGGCTTCCGCGACGGGCGCAAGTTGCGAGGCGGAGGAGCGGCGCGCAGCCCCCGCTCCCGCATTCCTCCTGGCAGGGGAGGTGGCGGGGCGGCGCCGGAGCGCTGGCGGCGGAGTTTGCCGGTCCGGCTGGTGCCGCCCCTCCCTGTGTTTTCTTCGTTGTTCATTTTTGGCGGGGGGAGCGGTGGCGGGGGAGGGAAGCGCTCTGCTCTCCGCAGCTTGCCGCGGTGCGGATGGACTGGTCTTCGTGAACACAGCTCCCGACGTTTCCCAAGCAAACCCAGACCCAAACAAACCACCCACTTGGATAACTAAACCGGTAAATCCAGCTAACTTTTCATTGTCTTGCTTGTGTGTGCTTCTGTATGTAGGTATTTATGGCTTATCCGGATTCATTTCATCATCCTTAGCTTTTCGGTTTTAGCTTCTCTTGTGCTGCAGGAGAACTTGAAATATTGGGGTTTGAATGGAACAGTCGGCTTTATCCTAAAGTTGAACTGAGGAATGAAAACCTTCCTAGGTCATACCAGCCTTGCAAATATGTTTACTTGTTTTACTAACCTGAATGTAGATGGGATTTCATGTGTCAGCATCCCCTTGAGTTTGCTTTTCCTTACTTTAATTTTTACCGATGCTCTCTAATATGGCATAGATTTGTGCATGCTATCCTGTATGCTGACTGATGTTGAATGCTGGCACTTGGCTTTGAATCTCTTCAGTTAAAAAATTGAGCTTTTGAAGTTAAAAAGTGAACTGTCTTCTCTTTTCACCCTCATTCATCTTGTGGATCCTGCCAAGACAAGGTCACCCAAACCAAATCAAGTGCTATTTCTCAGCCCCAGGGCATCCCTGCCCATGGCAGGGAGTTGGAACTAGATGATCTTAAGGTCCTTTCCAACCCAAACCATTCTGTGATTCTATGATGGAAACATGCCATGGTTCGTGCAGTTTGCACAATTTGCATAGCTTTTAAATCCAGTAGGCTTTTATTTGAGAGGTTATGGATTTTATACAGTCACTGTATTAGTTGAATGCTTTATGACACTGGGCAACCCCAGACTTTCTGCGCATTACGAAAACCAACTTTAGGAGTTTGTATGCCTTTGTTTTGTTAGGTATTATAATTTCATAGACATTTATGCTCTGTCCTAAGAGGTATTCTTCTTCTTGGAGCATTAACCCAGCAGCCATTCACCTGAGGAAAACAAAAATGAGGTCAGTTAAAAAAAAAAAATCAGTGTATACATGGAGAAAAGACTGCCTTGTTCTCATGAAATAAGAGAAAATGGGAGTATAGCTGGTAAAAATGACTGACCTGAACTTTGCTGTAAAATATGAGCTAAATTTCCAAGTTTAACTTGGGGAAAACTTAGCTTAGTGTAGATTCTGTTCTCTTCATTGGTTTTATTTCTTTCCTTTCTGAGAAGTTAGTTGTGTATTGATCTGCCTACCTGCACGTGTACGTGCACACACACCTGCCCAGGCATACACCAACCAGATAGTGCCCAAGCACAGGACTTATGATTCTAGTTTTGAGCTACAGAGGACTACAGACAATAGTGAAGGAAGGAAAAAGGAGAAGAGAATTACAACATTTACTTTTGGGCACATATACTGGGGATCTTAGCCTGGAGACTGGTTTCAGTAGTCAAAGAAAAGAGACAGGACCTGAAATGCCTTTGAAAGCACATAGCGTATGCTTCTGCTGTAAACTGCTGCTTGCTGTGATTACATCTCTATTTGAATTCATCTTCCAAAAAACTTATGTTCATCCACCATTTCTTTTGTTAGTGTGGAAAATGGGATAGAATATGCATTCACTGATTATTTAGAGTCTGCTAAATATTAAGATCTTTTGACCGAAGAGACATATTTTGCTTAGGGGCTAAAAATAGTCTTTGTTCACTAACATAGAAACTACTGTGTGCCGCTGTCACTGCACACTAACTTTCTGCAGTGTTGTGTTAAAATGGGAATATGGGAGTAGGGAGCATCGTTTCTGCACGCAGGACATGAATGGTTAAATGACTGGTCAGCAGTGCTGCTCAAAGCTTTAGTCACTCCAGGTAATATTACTGTCTGAGCAGTGCAAAAGGTACAGCACTGATCTTTGCATCAGGTTGTTTTAAGGTACCTCTTCACAATTACTATTCATAGCCATGATAGTGCCTTCTTTCTTCAGTGCAATTTCTGCCAAGACCAGATTTCTGCCAAGCCTGTCAGAAATATCTGAAAGTTTCTTCATTTTGATTGTGGAGACTGAAGTGCCTGGATTGTCAGAGGAAAAAAAGGTGATCAGCTCCGAGCCACTGTGAAATGTCACTAAAATAACTAAAATAGACTATTAGGGAAGTCAGAAAGTCTTCTTAAGAAGAGATTAATCAAGCCTCTGTCATTTGTTTGTGGGTTTGGGTTTTGTTTGTTTATTAATATCGTTTTTTCCTCGGAAGTTTTAGGCTCCGCAGCTCTCACTGCCTTCAGTGAAACCTGCAAATAAGCAAGTTTCCTTGCTGAATTTCCCTTCTTTCCCTCCCCATCTCCTATAAGCTCCAAAGTAACTGGGGGGGGGAGGGGGGAAGTCTTTCATCCAGACAGCAATGGAAGCTTACAGAATATAGTCAGGCAGGAGGCACTTACCACTTGTGGAATCTGATTTCTCAGTATTAAGATTCCTCTTGAGCTGGGGTTACAGACAGAAAAGGCTCTGCTGCACATGACATCCCTCAGGTGCTCATGGAATCCTGTGCCAATTCCACATCTGAGGATCACATACCACTGTTACAGTGTGTACAAGGGAACAGGTGATGCAAATTCAGATATTTTTAATAGCTTACTGATGCACAGCTGTAAGTTACAACTGAAGTTCTTGATCTGGAAGAGTAACACCCTTTTGCCTTGATTTCCTTTCAGTTACTGATTGGAAAAGCCTTATATACTGCAGGTGTTATGAGCCCTTCACCCTGAAACAGGGCAGGAAAATTGAAAAATGAAAGAGAAATTGACTTTAAGACAGTTTTAGTACTTGAAATCATGTTTTCTACCCTTGTCTTTTAAATTACTAATCTCCACCTGTGGGTGTCCCTTTGACCTGTGAGACAATTTATACTATAAGACCCTTAGTGATTAATGCTAGGCACATAATATTTTCAAACATTTTCAGTATTAGATTGTATCTCTTGGCTTTGGATGCCTTTTTATTTATTTATTTACTTATTTAATGTTACATTCTTGCCTGCAAGGGCTTCTCTCTAATTTATGATCACAAACAAAGGTTACACACTCTAATTCAACTGTTACAGCATTTTTATACAAATGCTCATTTACTTCGTCAAAACATTTAGAAAGAAGGATTAGTGAATGTGATCCATCATTCCGCAACTATTGCGTGAAGTGGTTCTATCCAAAATGTTTTCACTGGTCATATTTTTTGTAAACTAGTTAAATATGTCAGACATAACGTTGCCCTCTACTACTACATTATGTTTCCAAATGCAATAAAGTTGAAGAATTTTCAATGCAAGATAAAAACAACATATTTTTTCCAGTTGACATTTAATGTCCATGGTGGGAAAGCTGCACAAGCCTCCTGGCAGAGAAGCAAGTCCTTCAGTGTAAACGCTTCACATTTTCTTTTAAGCCAGAGCATATTTCAGAAAATGTTGGGAATGTGCATTATATATATTGAATTTCAAGTGTTATTTTCATGATAGTTCATCTTATAAATTAGCAATGGAGTAAGAGAAGGGAATTGGTGGTCATTTTCCTTCACGCACTCTTCATGTCCTCAGCTCTCCTGCAGAGTTCCTGGAAGAAGAAAAGCACATGAAAGTACAGTAAACTATGCAGATCTAGGCATCCTAAGAACTGACTAAACACTTTTGAGTTTCCCTTGCCTACAGCTGGATTGTATCACATCACAATTTCGGAGGCTTACTTGGAAGAGTTGTGAAACTGGGTTTGACTCTTCCAGCTATGCATCTCTGTGTATGCATTTGCAGGTTTTCTGCAGGAGAGAGGCAGAGAGTCTATGACTAAAGGCAGGACAGCTAGTTCTAAATAGCAAACATGGCTTGCTTTGCCATGAATTGCCAGCAGCTCAGCACCACAAAAAGCCCAATTTAAGGACTCACACATCACTGGCTTAATGGAAAAATGAGAGGATTTCTGTAAGGCACTAGTTGTGATACTGTATTTTGAAAAACTACATCAGTATACAAGCAAGTAACCTTGTTGCATATGTTTAAGCTCTGTTTCATCTTGTCAGATTGCGAGCTGAGTTTTGAAAGTCTTGTTCTGAGTGGCAAGCAGCCCCAGATGGAAAACAGAGCTTATCAAAGTAAGAAAATGGCCACCTAAATTAATTTCTTAAAATTATTTTCTGCTAGAAAAATCTCGTGCCTAAACTATTGCATTTTGTAGGAAAACATTACTCCACCATGTTAAATGAGTGTTAGTTTTTCAGGCTTTGACTGAACTGGGATTTTGTTGATGGTGGAAAATAGAAAGGTTTGATGGCAGAAACATCCAGAAACTAATCAGCAAGTCAGCTGGCCCATGTGCAAGCACAGCAGTTATGCCTTATGTGCTAAACATTTAAAAGTCATTCTCTGCCACAGGGAATATTATTTAAAGGATAGCTTATTAGCAGGACTGTCACTATGAGGTGCAAGGAGAAGGCTAAGGGGATCTAGCTACCTAACTTGTGTATATAAATGTGTGTGTGCTTATAGGTGTATGTACACAAATACTGATTTCATGGCAGCCAAATATAAAACCCACATGAGTGAATAAAAAGTTGCCCTGAATCATGAAGAAACATTGGGAATGTGACCCGCTGGAGAAAGAGGAAAGGACAGAACGAATACTGAGAGTCACAGAAAGGTCTGATCCATTATGTAAATTTTGGACAGAGTAGGTGAGGAGAAGGACTGGAACTTACCTAACCAAGACAAAATCCTGCATGTGCAGTAATGAGAGGTGATTAGAATTTGATGGATCTTTTATGATAACGCAAAACCAGGAACTGCTCCAAGGGGTACTTTGTACCTACTGAAGTGTGGTTGCATTTGGCAGCTTCTCCTGATTTGAGAACTTCTGAACTCTGCTGCTATAAGTCACAATGACAAATATGACAATTTCAGAAACTTCTGACCTTCAAAATAGAGTTTATGAGTATTTAATCACTGTACCTGTAACTGTGTAGTCATGTGTGCAATAACAATTATGGGCAAAGAGACAACAGTCAGATTCTTCTTCCTCCTTTTTTCACAGTCGTGGGAATAAGAATTTGTTGTAATCAAGTTTCATTCCTTTTCCCCA